CCAAAAATATAATTTACAATTTAGGGACATTCTCTCTGGAGTAACTGAGGACTAAGTGCCTTACTAAAGGGCACACTAGTAGTGGTGTTCCAGGCGGGATTTGAACTCGCAACCTTCCGATCATCAGCCCACCTCACTATCCATTAGACTTAAAAAAAAATCAATGTATGGGAAACACTGGTATATATACACACCGCCAACTTAGCAACCTTTTACTGCCAGGACTTGCCTTCCTACATACAAATCAGGCTTGCTGCTATAGTCAGCGATACGGCTGTTACACGATGTTCGGCATACACAGATAACACTAATTGCTTATTCTATTCGAATGCTAATAAAGCTTGTTTGGTTAAATTCTGTGCATTAGCAGCAGTGCCCACGCCTCTTCATTTGTAAAATACGAAAGGGGATTTAAAGTTTTTCTTTCACAAGGGCATTGATTCTGCATCCTAGGCCTAGTGTTCCCTGAGATGCTAGTAATTGATTTAAAGAAATAAAAACAACCCCCGATCTACTTTTGTTTTCCCTTGGTGTGAAGAATTATGATTTGTTCGGGCAGCACTTTCTCGTAAAATAAAGTGTGGAGACGTGCGAGACTACTCTCAAGGTTTAGCATCTTCTGAAACACATTATATTTGTGTAATTTAAATATATTAGGATGTGATAAAAGCTCTTGATTCTAACATTTTGGGAAATACAAGTTGATTAATACTTCCTCATGTCTGGAGATTAATAACAGGCTATCTAGAGAATTGTTCAGGCCTGTAACCTCTAACCTTAACATGTTATTTTATGTATTGTGTACAGATGAAACAAAGCAGATAAGCATCAGTGATGGTAGGAGTATTTCTTAACTTTGTCAGGGCAATGCCAGCTGTTGCTTTCGATGTTATGTTAAGCTAAAGTATGCTAATCGCTTCCTGTCTCTTACGGTACGTCCACACAGCGGCTTTGGAAAAAGCTTGCCGGCGGGCGTGTCTGAAGCTCGACCAACAACCAATCACATGAATCTCCCGCCCCTGACACACAAGCAGCGGTTTGATTGGCTATAGCTTGTACTGGCATATGATTTGATTGGCTGACGCTTCCACCGAAAGCTTCAGAAGATTCAAAAGTTGAACATTGCTCAACTTTTGAATCCTGAGATGCCTGGAAATCTCAGCTTTGCTTCCCACAATGCAGTTCGGCGCAAAGTGACGTCAACCCATTCAAAGTGAATGGGCAGAAGCGTTGGAAGATTTTTTTAACGCTGCTGTGTGGACGGGCCGTTACTCTGCACTCAACGCACTGACATGTGTCAATTTCTCATCTAATTCTCCAAAAAAAAACGTAATTTCCCAAAACATCAAACTACTCCTTTCCTTCATCTTGCTTCCTACCTGAAGTTCTCCACCAGGATGAGCTCCTCTCCGTTGAACTGGTTGTTCCTGTAGAGAACTCCCAGCTTCACCACCATCTTGATCAGGTTCTTGATGATCTTCTGGGACTCTTTGCGGTTGCGCGTGAACTCCTTGGTGACGCGGTACAGCTCGTCCAGCACCTCGCTGCTGGTGTCGTCGATGAACAGGTTGGCCATGCTCTTGGTGGACATCTTGCTCATCAGCTTCTTCTGCGCCTGCAGCGCTAAGCTCTTGGTGCTGAAGGAGTCCATGGTGAAGACTGGGGGAGGAGAGAGAGAGGATGGTAAACTCATTGGTTATGCATGTAATGAGTGGACACGTTTCCTTTCTTTAAGAATGCCATTTTTACTTGTCTGTTTATTCGTCTTTAAAAAGGTCCTCTATTATACTGTTTTTCATCAATATATTATAGGTCTCAGTTATATACAAACATGTCTCTGAAGTGTTTGGCTCCAAACACCAAACAGATCATTGCAGCATTCCCATAACCCCCTCTGTTTCAGCCCTGTTTCCAAAGTGCTGATTCTCTGTCTGTTACTTTAGATGAAAATAAGGAGCCCCTCCCCACGCCCCTCTGAGAGAGATTTGGTTACAAAGAACTCAATGGTGCTCTAGGATGAGATTCAGGTGATAAGGTGGGGGGGGTACCTTGGTTGGTGATTGGCTAATGGTTACACAAGCCAAAACATCGTTATGACATCATAAAGTGGCCAAAATCTGATCAGACAGGTTTTTATATAAATGGATCAGGACAAAAAGAGAGAGAATCTTTTTTCCTGAAACTTTCAGAATCTCTTTAGGGGACACATGTTTATGTAGAAAAGACGGGAACATTTTGATTTAGCATAATACACAGCAACCCAAAACTATCAGTACATGAACCGGACGCCTGCATGTTGTGTGACTAAAGCATGTTCGTTCATTTCCAGAACTATAGCAAGTTAAATAAAAAATAAAGTTAGCTTTAAGCTTTAAAGGTAATGTCCTATGATTATTAACATATACTATAGGTTCTCATAGTTGTAGCTTTTATGGGTCTCTATTCTGCTTTTGGGGTTTTCCCTTTCCTGTCGTGTGTTAAACAGGTTTTAGTGCAAAGGCTAAAATCCCTGTGTTCCCTCAAGAGGGAGCTTCTCCAGATATTGCCCTGAGTTCCAATAAAATAACAGCTCATCAGGAAAGAAAAAGGGCCAAACATAACACGCTGACAGCCAGCGATGTGTGAGGTTATTACAAATAACATCTGCACTAACACGGCTTAAACTGCAGGGCCAAGAGCTGTCCCCTTTATTAGATAATGAGCCGTGGCAGCTGTCAAATTAGTCCCAGAAACCCCTCTGGCTGGCGGCGAGGTGGTTAGAGAAGAAAGAGTCATTACAGGAGGGAAGGCAGGTAGCAGTGTGATCTGAATGCACCCGGAGAACAAAGTGTGAAGGTGAAGCAAACTTATTCCCAGCACGCGTGTTGCTTGATTTATGTATGATGTTATTTCCTAGAGTGTGTGAGAGTGACTCAGTGAAAGTCTTCCCCCATGTTGGAGGCTCATGAATAGCGGAGGTCATACTCCACCCCCAGCCTTCAATCTCTCCTCTTCGAATGAGGCAGCATCACTTCAGCCGGTGCGACTCAAAGCCTTCTGCATGTCGCTTCTTAAGGTGTGTACACTCGGTTTTTGAAAAATAACATTAATCTATTTCCCCATACACTCCCTCGCTAACCTTCACCACTCTCAAAGGAAACCAACCTGTGAGTACACGGGAGTAAGCCGACAAAAATAACATGTTTTTCCAAAACAGCAAGCATGAATGATGGCTGCATTTTGACATGGCCACAGTTTTCTAAAATATATTCCGATGCAATTATACAGATAATGAAAGCATATTAGTTTCATCAATAGCAACTCCATAGAATTCATTTGAATGATGTTACAACAGGTCTGCGTCTACCAATTATTGTCATTAACATTGCTAATAAAAAACCTCATACAGTACATAACCAAAAGCCAAGGCTATCCTTTTTCTTTTTGAAATAAACATTGTCAAACTTAGATTTTCAAAAAGTTTATCAACAATTTTACATCAAAATATAAGAAAATCTGCAAATTCTCACATGCAAAAAGATGACAACAGATTGAATGTCATTTTTGCTTTTGAACTTATTTGGAAAAGTAACTTAATGAAAATCTAAATCAAAATGCTTTCAGATTTTCTGTCACTCATCTTATGAAACAAAGTGTTTCGGCTTTTGTCTGCAGAGTTTTGTAGGTGAAAACTAAACATTTAGATGCAATTGTTTGTTTGTTTCCTCATGATGATAATCAGCGTTTCCGCCAGGGGGGCGTCTTGCCGTCATTTGACCTGTTCAACTCGGGACGCCCTGAACTCGAGCAGAGGGCGTCCCAAAAAAACTGAGGCTCCATGGTAAACTGTGGTAACATGAAGAGCCGTTTGGGAGCCGAAACAGCCAAATGATCCGGCTCACTAACGTAAAGAGATAGTATCTATAAGGGACGGCTCAATTCTAAATTCAAGCCACGAACCCCCATGTATTGCATGTATGAAAACGGTCGAGAACCAAGAGCTGGTATTGAATGCTCCATCTTTTTTGTGCTCATTTTTAAAATATGAATTCAATGTATTTACCACTATAAGAGCAAACATTTTAATTGAGGCAAGTTAACAATTTGAGAAGATTTCACTAGTTCATTCATGGGCTGCAACTAGATATTACTGTCATTATAGATTAACCTGCCAATTGCTTCCTCTATCAGTCCATTGTTTGGCGCCTTAAATGTCAGAAACCGGTGTAAATGTCAGCGTTAGTTTCCTGGAGGTCAGGGTGACATTTAGAAAATGTCTCGCATCTGTCCAAAACACTAACACATAAAGTTTACTCTGATATAAAACTGAGAAAAGCAACAAATCATCAAAACCGGGGAAAGGTTGGAGCTGTTGCACGCTAAACGGTTAACAAAGTATTTGCAGATTAACTTGCTGCTGACAGACTAATCACTTAATGAACTAATCTCTTCTTCTCTCGAGGCAAAACACGTTTATAAGCACAGTATTTGTACGGGATCAGCACCGGTATTGGGACATTTTTAAACAATACCCAGCCTTATTGTGCTGCAACCACAGGAAAATAATAAAGCACTTCTTGTACCTCGGGGGGATAAAATAAAAAAACAGTCAGATCTTATTTCCTTAATACCTCTCTCTGTCACCAGCATGCTCAATTCAGCCTAATAGGCGACTGTCACAGAGAGAATACAATAAACACGTTTAGGCAAAGTGTCCCATTCACATCACAATAGGGGCTTAATCTCCTCCACATGAAAGCTACCCGAAAGCTTAACTGAAAATCTGCATGATTGGCAAATTGCATTTCCATGCGCTTTGGAATAATAATAAGAAAATCCAGTGTGAGTGCAGCAGACAGAATGAATAGTGACATATCCTGCTGGGTGACTTGTGATTCTTACTGTTGGTACTAGAAGGCAGAGTGTCTGCAGCTACAATGACTTTCACCCCCCCACTCCTCTCTTTCGCTCTGCAATGCCTCTCTAAGAATATCAATACGACTCCTTGGAGAGAGCGTCAGCAGGAAGCTTCCCCGCGAGGAGACACAAGACGAGAGAGAGGGGGGGGGTGGTGTTATATATCAATCCTGAGACATGGAGGGAAAAGTAGGTGTTCAATGAGAGGTCATTTATTTACTGTCTTGTGCTAGTTTTACTCCCCCTCTCATTTACCTTGTTCCCAGGTTGCTAAAGGGCTGGTGCAGGAAAACCTGTCTGTATGTGAACCATTTTCTAGTCTTTTCACTGCAGAGACGCACATTTTTTTTCAAAATCTGCTCCAAACTATATTTTTAGCAAACACCAAGAGCCAAGGTTAGGGCAAGATTAACCTGGGATAAGACGGTTCATGGCGAGGACCAGAAGACAGATCATAGTGAGAAATATGGCGGTCAAATATGCCCGTAGAAAACGGCATATCGATGAGAGCAACCCACCTGGGTACTCTCCCTGCACATCATGGCTCCGCCCCTTTTTGGGTGAAAACATTTGACTGGCAGTAAATACAGATTCTGAGTTTTTTACAAATCAAATCAAAACATTTAGAAAACAGAGCAATTTGTATCTACAAGGAGCCCAATTACGATGGTCAGAAACAATCAAACAATGTCATTGGAAGTCATTGATTGGCGTCAATATATTTAGTTAAATCAAGCAATATGGAATGGATGTCGTTCAATCTGCCACTGGACGAGTGCCAGACAGCATCCTAACACTTACACTGGGATACCCTTGGGTTTTCAGTGTGTTATATTTCAATGCAGCACCTACAGTCACTACTTTGACTTTAGACATTACAAATGTCTACTCAGAAGATTGATCATCATCATTAGCATCATAATGTTGCTGTGATGTTTCCCACAGAAGTACAGCGTTGACAGACCGGGTCTCTTTGATCACAATCTCCGTCCTCTCTGTGGAAGGCCTGAAGATATTTGACCATCTTTTCATCAAATAAAAGTAAAAAAAATCTTAGTTTTGGACCTTTCTGTTGTTTGACGTCCAATACACGACACATCAGCTTTTAGGCATGATGACACTATTTCCATTTGGCTGCGTTTTTTTGTTTCGACCAGAAATTTCGCCAGGCGGTGACGTAAAGTTGCTGGCCTCCATATTCATGCTGATGTTGCTGAGAATAGCAGCGGATGTGAATGTCAAGACGAGGCTCCTACAGGTCTGCTCGGTGGAAAAGCAAAATGGTTCTTAAGGTCCTTACACACCAATCTGACACCAGAGAACACGTCCCGACGGACCCGACTGTTGTATCGCCTCACGTCTCCTGCGTCTTGCCCAACAGTCGCACTGGAACACACCGCAAAGACTTCATCCGACGGCCAAGTAGCACGTACGAACTGCGCATGCGTGAGTGGCAATACCTCTCCTTATCAGCAGGCGGCGGTAGTGTGTATTCGTCATTCAAAAGAGGCAACAACCGGAAGACAGACTGCGTGATAACCGAGAGAAGAAGAACAGACTGCTGATATAAACAAACAACAAATAGCGTGTGCGTTCCATTTTCACTCTACAACGAGAAGTTCATGGGGCTTCCCCGAACCTGTGTCGAGAGCTGGAGTTAAATAAAATCTCAGATTTGCCTTCTTAATAGTTTGTTTGGGTCCCTCACTTCCGTTTCACTTCTCATGCACTGATTCGCTAGCTGAACAGCCAATCAAAGTGAT